GGGGGGCTGGGTGGTAGATTAAAAGGAAGGTACAGAGAAAAAGGAAGATAGAAATGGATGTGGCTGTGGCTCACCTTCCACTTTTAATTTCTTTCTTATTTATTTGTTTATTAATTTATTTCTCCATGCAAATTAAAATCTGTGCTTGTGGTTCAAGTTTGGGCAACGAGGGTGGGGGGGTTGGTTCACCTTTTTGTTGTTATCTCCCCCCAATTTGCAAACATTTTGTTCCCACCACACATGGGAGACCGGAGAACATCGAATTACCACCATCCCCTCTTCTCTCTCTCTCTCTCTCTCTCTCTCTCTCTCAGTAGCCACTCATGTTTGAAAACAACTAGTCTCCATGTTCCCTTGCTCCAATCAACTTGGGTTTCATCTTTTTTTCTTTGTTTTCTTCTTTTTCACTTCTTTTTCTGGGAAATAAAAGAAGGGAACAGACGTTAAGCCATGTGTGGGACCCATGTATCACACTGTTATAGTGTTATACTCAATTTTTACTAGCTGTAGCTGAGGTGGCAGTTGAAAATGGGCCCACCTGCTCCCCGAAAGCATCCCTCTTTCCATGTGGCAAATTTCTCTTTCCCACGAGGAAAGGCAGGTCACTTCCCTACCAGCCTTGTTCTTTGATGGAAATAAATTAAATCAAAGAAAATGGTGAGGGACATCATAGGGCATAGGCACACGTTGCTGACTTGGCAAAAGGAAAACTAGGCATGTGGTAATAATTTATGTCTGAAATAGATGAATGGCCCGAATCCGCCATCGCCATGTCAGCGCCGATGTGTTGATCAGCAGCTTCGAAGCCTATCTCATACCGATATCGGTTACAAGACAAAAGGCCCATTAGAATAATCTATGTCTGTACAAATCATCCATATTCGTTGTAGTCCTGTATGTGTTCTACCTAACTTCTCGACCATTTCTCTCTGTCCTGTCCAAATTCTGGTTCTGCTTGTGTGATGCACAATTGAAGAATCTTGATCAGATCATTTTGTCCTTTTATTACGCCTTTGTTATTTCCTATGTAATTTCTACTATACCGGCCTATAAATAAATGAATAAATGAAAACCCAGTACCTGGACAATCCCTTTCTCTGTTTTCTGGTAGACCCACCTGTATTTGTAGGTGTAGGGGGGTTAATCACTCAGATTCTAAACCTCATCCTCAAGGGTTTAGGTTGCATACTTACAATTTGAGAAAAAGCCAAACTGAACTAACTTTCTATTTTTTACCTAGGCAAACTTGGTGGGGGTTGGGGGTTCAGTGACAACTGCATCCACTGACTGAGCAATTCGGATGGGGGTTTTGATGAGTCCTTGTGTATTCTGGTTGGACATTTTGGGCTGGCTGCGAAATTACTTAAATCCTGGACCTAAAATTTTAAACTTTATTTGGAATAAGCCAACTAAAACTGGGAAATCGAAGATAAACAATGTGGGAGAAAGTGAGTTTGTGGATTGGGTCAAGACCCAAGACTCAAGATATATCAAGCCAAATCGTAGGACTGTTGCAATAAATAAGCAACTACTACACCAAGGACACTTTGATCTATTGAACGCTTGGTCACCTCACCTTCCTAGACGGAAATAAACATCAGAAATTCGGAATAAGATCAAAACTATTGAATTGGCCACCTGCTAAGTTGCAGAGATTATAATTTAGGGTAGGGCCAAAATGGCCCAAATCATTCTAGGAGGGCTAGAGATCTAGTAGGACGGACCTTGGTTTGAATCAGGTCTAGCTTAACTAGGTGTTTTGGTGAAGATGCACGGTTCCTACCCTGACCCTGACGTGGGTGTGGCCTGGGCTCAGCCTTACCGAACTGACAGGAGCCATACCTAAACTTCAGTGAAACAACCAACAAAGCGGTGGAGTGAGTACGTAGAGACGTACGTACGCTCCTGTGGCTAATAAAGCCTTGACATTCAAGATATGATTGACCTTGGCGTGCGGATGACCACATGCCTTTATGGCATCGTATAGTGTAAATTACTAAATTGTAATGTAACGCTCCCTATGACCTATGTTGTTGCTTACTTGCTTGAGTATTTGTTAGGTACCACACCGAAAGCTGCAGCCTGCAGCCTCTCGCCAGTCGCCAGGTCGGGCCGAGCTGGATATGGTACTCTCTGTTAAAAATCGGTTAGATTGTTCTAGCCCCGGTGATTGTCTCAGCGGTCTCTATCTGAACCAGTTGTCGGCCGCGCCGGACCCAACACATTCATGATTCATAGTTTCATACACATATACATGTGAAATACGTTTGAGATTAGAGAAATATTAATTAAATGGATACTAAGAAAGCTTTTGGCTGATGAAATGAAATAATCAAATAATAATGAATTCCCCCACTCAACTCATCCATCCTCTTGGCTCTTTCTCAGGGTTGGCAAGAATCTGAGATTCTGAAGCTCTAAAATGCCAGCACCACTGCACGTTGATGGCTGGACGCCATGTGCTAATTAGGTAATAAGGTAATGACCAAGCCATGATCTATGAGGTCATCCTGTTTGGTTGCGCTTACATGTGAAATATTGATGAGCCTTGTCTGGATTTAAGACTTTTAGGGCAAAGCGGGATTGTTTGGACCTTTTATTTGGATTCCCATATTAATTGAAAAAATTAAATGGCTTTGGCATAATTTTCTTCCCGTCTGCAGCAGAAGCCTAGACGGTTAGCTGTATCTCTGCTAATCTTTCTAGTTTGCTCTGTGTTGGTGCTTGCAATTGGATCCCAATTTCGTTTGGTCCAGACGAAACTACTTTAGAAGAAGCATTTTAACGTTTCATGCCATTCTTCTCTTTCGTGTCCAACACAACTCCAACTAGTAGTGACTCTACTGTCTTCTTTCTCTTCTCTGAACTGAGAACTAACACAGAAGTTTCTTAGTGACGGAGACACACACCCTTTTCAATTTAGTAAATAATAAAACCGTATTAACATAACTAGTGATCACAGTCACGACAGGGGAGCATTTGTCTACTTATCTTGATAGTGTGTGTACTCCTCTCGAATAGAGTTAAAAGCGAAACAATGTGGACATTCGCGAGTTATTTCAGTTAGGTTCCTCCATTTGTTTCAGGGATTTTTTTTTTTTTTCCCCTTCAATCTATAACATCTCATTTCTGTCATTTGGTGCAAAAACAAACAACTTTTAGCCTTCAGTTTTTTTTCCTAATTTAGCAATATTACTAAGAGAGCAAGCACTAGGACAAACAAAGCCATTTTGCTCAAGAGCTCTCATTGTGAGTAGATTTGGGGCCATTGTTACAGTAGAAATGAAATTGGGAAATAAGAGTCTTCTGGCGTAAACCATGGCCTCATTGATGCCGTTAACACCATTGTTTTCTATGATATCTTCTTCCCTTTTCCTTCCTCCTTTCACACAAAAGGTTTCTCCCTCCCCTATATATATACATATATATATATATATATATATATATATATATATATACATATGTTCAATAAATTTAAACATGAACACCAAAATTTTGGATATAAAAACTGACGGACAAGATGCTTAATTCAATTCTAAAATTGTCAATTTTTTCAGCACCCTTACTTGGAATCGTGAAGAGCCATTGACTTGAGCTTTTGCCATGCCCAATTGTCAACCTTGCTGCTCCTGTTTCAAGTTCAACCAAGCATGTTTCCCACTTTTCCGTTGACATCAATTGAGCATCATCATTGTCCTTACACCGACCCAAACACAACCTTAAGTCCTTAACTGGATTTAGGGCATGAAGTCATGAACTTGAATGATGAAAGAATCTACTTTCATAAAATTACCGTATAGTCTAGTGGTGAGTTGGCATCCCTTGCATCGACGAGATGACTGAGGTTCAAACCAGCGGAAAAGCAGGCCTTTTGCATTACATTACATCTAGAATTCTAGACAGTACAAAAACAGCCTAGGCTGTTGAGAACGTTGTTAGGTATGACACGTTCACCCTTTCTTACCCTTGCTTGTCTGTTGGTCAAAAGAAAATGGGGCAATTATTCTTTTGTCCTGCATCCGTGGTATCCCCAAAAGTAGGGGTGTTCACGGTTCGGTGGGCTTATTTTTCAGATTAAATCAGTATTATCGGTTTTTGAAAAATAGTAACCAAAACCGAATTAAAGTCGATCGGTTAATTGATTGACTTGTTCAGTTAATCATCTGTTCAGTTGATTATATATTATAAATATATAAATATAATAAAAACTAAAAATACATATACCTCTATTGTCTAATGCTATCCTATTTTGGAAAATTGCCATTACTGTTAAAATATTAACGGAAGGGCTGAAATGCCCGCTTAATCCTTAGGTCAAATTGAAAGCTCCTCTGATTCTTTTTCATCTTCCTCAATTTGTCTTCGCTACCCAAGTCCATATTTGGGTTCCTTCAT